CCACGGCGTCCTACAGCCTGCTGCTGTTCCTGCTGCAGATCAAGGACAGGCACAACGGCAACATCATGCTGGACAGGAAGGGCCACATCATCCACATCGGTGGGCACCGGGGCGGGGAGGGCGCGGTGGACTGGGGGGACAGGGTCCTCACCCACGGTGGGCAGGCCAGCATGGCCCCTGCGGAAGTGCCGGGGCGGGCGATCGGGGCCAGCCCTGAGGTCCTGCTGCGGAGGTGCCCGGCCTGGCCCGGCCTCTGGAAGCTGGCAGCACTGGCTGGGGGCACCCCGGGGCAGGACCCACCTGGCCTCAGTGCCACCTCACCCAGACCGGGCCCCCGCCTCCTCTCCTCTGCCTGCTGCTGGCCTGGGGGTGGTGGGGCTGGTGTCCAGGCACCTCGTCCGCTCCGCTGCTCACAGGCCCCCGCGCTCCGCAGACTTCGGCTTCATGTTCGAGAGCTCCCCGGGCGGCAACCTGGGCTGGGAGCCCGACATCAAGCTGACGGACGAGATGGTGATGATCATGGGCGGCAAGATGGAGGCCACGCCCTTCAAGTGGTTCATGGAGATGTGCGTCCGCGGGTACCTGGCCGTGCGGTGAGCGCCGGGTCCCCACCGGGCCATCGCAGGTCCCCCGGGGCGCTCTCGCCACATTCCCAGGGCTCCCGGCCTCCGCCTTGTCCTGCAGGCCCCTGAGCCATGCTCCCTCTAGCTCCCACCCACCCTCTCATCGAAGCCTGAGGCCAGGCGGACCCAGGGGCACATCGTCCAGGCTTCCAGAGGGCCCAGGCCCAGGCCACCCGGCAGGCTGTGGTGACGCCTGGACTCCCGCCCACAGGGGGAGGCCTCGTGGGGGTGGGGCCGGGTGCTCAGGGCGGGTCTCAGCCCGTGGGGGCTCCGGGTCCGTGGGAGCAGCCCCGGCCTGGCCGAGGGGCCGGGCGGCAGGGGAGGCCGAGCTGGGGTGGGAGGGGCCCGGGGGCAGGCCAGGCACTCAGGCCACCGCTCCATCCCAGGCCCTACATGGACGCCGTCGTCTCCCTGGTCACGCTCATGCTGGACACGGGCCTGCCCTGCTTCCGAGGCCAGACAATCAAGCTCTTGAAGTAGGTCCCTGGCGGGCTCGGGGCCACGTGGGGACAGGTGTGGTGTCCGCCAGCTGTGCTCGTAACTGACTGGCACCTCCTGGGACCCCCAGGATGTAGGGGCCCCGGGCGCAGTGCCGTCACAGACCGCGCCTGCACGACGCCCCGGCTGCTGGCAGCGCCCAGCCGTGGGTGCTCGGACCTGGGGAGATGCTGGGAGGGAACACGCGGGGCCCGCCCCTCCCGGCGGCACGGGGCCAGCACAGCCGGCTTGTGTCCCAGGCACAGGTTCAGCCCCAACATGACGGAGCGCGAGGCCGCCAACTTCATCATGAAGGTCATCCAGAGCTGCTTCCTCAGCAACAGGCCAGTGCCCGCAGGCCTGGGGAGGGAGCCCAGAGACGCACACGGGACACGGCACACGGGGATGCGGTGTCCGAGTCAGCCAGAGGGGCGGGGCAGGGAGGGTCTCTGAGGTGACTTGGGCAGGGCTGAGCTGAGCGGGCAGGCAGGGGGAGACAGGCCAGGGGTGGGGCTGAACGGCCCCCCTTGGGCCCCCT